AATTGTTTTTCATAATGACAAGTAGGTATGCAAGCAATCCTCAATTTGCTTAAAACCTTTTTGTTCCATTTTTTTTTTCTTAAAAAATTACTTCAGAGATAAAATGTCACTAACCGGCCGGACGCATTGTAAAAGGCGAGTAATTTGTAAGCATTTCAAATGCAGCGAGTTGAAAAATGGAATGCACAAATTAGAGTAATACGTGGCAGAATACCGAGATAGTGGCCTAGAAAACGATGTGACTTATTGTCACTTCAATGTGACCACAGAGCATTGAAATATACTAGAATAAAAATGCTACAGCAAAAACGTTTAACTTCACAGCATATTCGTGACTTCTGCATTAAAAGACATACTGTACATTTCTTTAGAAAGTAAAATATTTAACTTTATTTATTAAGCAACCAACTTTTACTGTGAAGATACTTTAAATTAAAATTAAATATATTTATTAATAAAATATTTATTAATATTACTTAATAATTTATATAGATAGTATATACATAGTGTATATATTAGTAATATAAATATAGTTTTAAAAAACTTTTTTTTTTTCGTTATATATTATTTATATAATTATTACTTTTATTTTTGTTATAAAGTTTCTTATGCATTTGTATCTTAAAACTTGCGATTTATTAGGCATTTTTTATGCATACTACTATTTTATTTAAATGTACACTTACCGACATAAATGCCTCAATGACATTACACCATATACTTGCTCCTTTGGAATAAGATTGTCCATCAAAAGGCGGCCATATTTTTCAAAAAACATTTCTCTTCTGACTTTGTAGACCATTGGCTAAAATTCAACAGAAAGATATAATGATCAGTAACTATAAATTGAATTTATTATTTATAATAAAAAAATAATTTAAATAAATAATAAAATAAAATAATTTTAATTACAAAAATACTTATAGATTAAAAATGTTTATTATATTTTTACATCTCATGATTGTTGTGAAGTTTGAATTGTGAGGAACCGTAACTGTATGGGATCCCACCATTTTTTTACTTATCTAGACATATAGTTCTGAGAAAAGTTTATAAACAATAAAACTTCATCTTCATGGTGAAGATGAAGTTTTATATATAAATAGAATTTAAATGAATAAACTCAAGATAAAAAATTGTATGTTGATATTTATATCAAAACAACAAACGGTTCAAAATTATAGTTTTTAATATAATTAAGTGATAAAATTATTTTTACTATAATTTAAGTGAATTAATAATTAAATATATTTATTTTATATTGTTTTGAATTTTTTTTTATATATTTATATAAATTGCCTTTGTGTTTGGTAATTTCCTGCCAGCCTATATTCCTATATTCTATAATTGAAGTGGCGACGCATTACAAATAAATTATAATTTAACTCTTTAATATTCAAATGGCAACATTTTCAAACATTTTGGACAACTGACAGATGTTGACAATTAACAATTGTCAAAAGTATTTTGCACACTCGTCAATTCAAATGTCAAAAACAGCAAAATTGTAATTATTTTCCATTCCAATCCATTTTTAGAATGTTTATCAGGATACTTCAAATATAATTTTTTTCTGGAAGGTTGCAGAAAATTAATTATTTTGGAAACTTAAGTAAAACAAGATGAGTTTAAGAGCAATGAACAGATAATAAATAATGTCTTAGTAAAAATATAATCTTTTATTTAAAAATCTTTTTTAAGAAATTTGATCATATTAGTTACAGTAATCAACTTTTAAAATTTCCTAGATACAAATGGTGTTTGGAACATATAAATTAACTTAATTTCATTTTTACGAAATTAAGTAATTACCAAAAAAATCTGTGCGACCAGAAACCCAAAGACGAGAACTGTTAAAACTAGCAGTTTTGTTTTATTTTCACTTGTCTGACTTAGTTTTTTTGTTGATTGATTTGGGGCAGTATGAACACTTTCGAAATTAACTTAATTTAATTTTTACGAAATTAAGGAAATTTGACTGTCTGAACATCGTATAAAGCTACTACTACCATTTAATAGTAGCAATTTAGTAGTAGCAATGAAAGTATGAACACTTTCGAAATTAACTAAATTTCAGTTTTACAAAATTAAGTAATTTTCAAAAAGATCCCTACGACCAGGAAACCAACGACGAGAACTGTTAAACCTAGCACTATTGTTTTATTTTCACTAGTCTGACTTTGTTTTTTTGTTGATTCATTTGGAGCAGTATGAACACACTTTATTTCACTTTTACGAAATTAAGTAAATTTGGCTGTCTGAACATAGTATATATCTACTACTACTATTTAATAGTAGCAATTTTATCTATTACTATTAAATAATATTTAATATTTTATAAATTTTAATATTTTTGATGTCTAATGTTTAATATGCTATTATTTAATTAAATCAATTATTTTAAATAAATTTATACAACAAACTAATGTTATTATCTTAAATTAACTGATGCTTTATGCCATATCTTCAAATACAAAACACGTTAAGTAGTACAATTTGCATCTACCTAACTTGCTACGCATTGTGTTTACCTATTCAAACTGAAAATATCTCTTATCTACATAGTAGTGTTTGTAGTATAATACTCACCTTGTAAGGCATCTCAATCATAGGTATATTTCGTAATAAAATTTGCAAGCAGGACACATTCTGAAATACGTAATTGCGACCATTTTCTGTCAGTTTGTCAAGTAATGACACAACTACGGATGCTCCGCCATCCGGTGGGTTAGGATTGGCGCCATATCTGAACACAAGAAATTTCGAACGACATTGAATTATATTTGAAGTATTCACAGCATTTGTTATTGTAGTCAAAACAGCAGCCATCGTATATCGAGTCAAGTTTGAAGTTACATTTGAACACGGAGCGTTTTTCATTTGAATGCATGATTTGATAAATGAAAATAAATAAAAAGTAAATTTTCATATGAACACATAATTTGTAAGATATACTATCTGAATAAACATATCTGTACTACTATACGCATATATATATATATATATTAGAGCAAAGTAACAATAAATAATAATACTATATTATATGAGGTAGGCAAGATAAGGTTCAGGGCGTAAAAGATGTGTATTTTATTGTGTAAATTTTTGTGTCACTGGGCTCGGCAGGTGTGAATGTGTAGAAATTTTGAGTGTTAACCTTTTGCATTCATTTCTTTAAATTAAATATTTGCGGTTGAAAGTTTGGCAGAAATTTTATAAATTACTTGGCTAAAATACGCCTTCGGTCATAAATTCAAATATGTGGAAAATAATAAACGTAAATAAGGGCAAGCATTAATAATAGATGTGCCACCGTATTGAAAGTAACCACTTAAGGGCTTAGAATTCATAGTTTGTTTGTGTATTGATGACAATTTTCCATATTTTTTTTAACAAAAAAAATACGTTTTATATATTTACTTAATTTAATAAAATTTCTTTAAAATAATTTTATTAAAATCAATAAATTTAAAATAACTATAAGGGTAAGCATAAATAATAGATGTGCCACCATATTAAAAGTAACCACTTAAGGGCTTAGAATTCATAGTTTATTTGTGTATTGATGACAATTTTCCATATTTTCTTTAACAAAAAAATACGTTTTATATATTTATTTAATTCAATTAAATTTCTTTAAAATAATTTTATTAAAATCAATAAATTTAAAATAACTATAAGGGTAAGCATAAAAAATAGATGTGCCACCATATTAAAAGTAACCACTTAAGGGCTTAGAATTCATAGTTTGTTTGTATATTGATGACAATTTTCCATATTTTCTTTAACAAAAAAAATACGTTTTATATATTTACTTAATTCAATTAAATTTCTTTAAAATAATTTTATTAAAATCAATAAATTTAAAAAAACTATAAGGTTAAGCATAAATAATAGATGTGCCACCATATTAAAAGTAACCACTTAAGGGCTTACAATTCATAGTTTGTTTGTATATTGATGACAATTTTTCATATTTTCTTTAACAAAAAAAATACGTTTTATATATTTACTTAATTCAATTAAATTTCTTTAAAATAATTTTATTAAAATCAATAAATTTAAAAAAACTATAAGGGTAAGCATAAATAATAGATGTGCCACCGTATTGAAAGTAATCACTTAAGGGCTTAGAATTCATAGTTTGTTTGTGTATTGAATGACAATTTTCCATATTTTCTTTAACAAAAAAAATACGTTTTTTATATTTATTTAATTCAATTAAATTTCTTTAAAAGAATTTTATTAAAATCAATAAATTTAAAATACTTCAGTAGAAGTAATTTACTCGAAACTATGTTAGAAATGTCTCAGAAATACTGGTATTAGATATTAATATGTTACGAATACCAATATGTCGTTCTAGATTTTATAACATTCGAACTTGTGCCAAATTTTTGGTAAGAAAATAATATTTATAGCAACTTTAGAAGAATCTAATGCAAAACATTGAACACACTCGTATATATACATATATATCTATAAGACAACCATAAAATTGTCATCGTATTTTTATAACTACTCTCATATTTTCAATGCGAAGTAAAATCAATAAAGTTTGTACTTGGCAAGAACTTTATACTTGAGTGCAAATATTTTTAAAAAAATATATTTATGTATATGAATGTATATCCATATAAATATAAATTTATCTCGTCTAATGCTTTTTTGTATTGAGGAGAAATATTTATGCAAATTTTATTTTACATAAGTACTTTGCAGTTTAAATTATTGTAGAAAACTGAGTTTTTATTTTTTTATGTTTGCTTAAAGGACCTGCAAAAACAAAATATTCGAATAAAAATTTATGCAACTCCCATTGAGGAGAGCTTTAAAGAAGAAAATATCAGTAAGTTGAAGAAACTTTTGGAATATTTTTTTAAGTTTTTGCATATATATTTATTACTGTACAAATTACAATTAAATTGTCAAAATATTCAAATAGTGTTAGTTTTCTATTTGGAATGAAATGAATGAATTTCTGTAGCTCTGTTGCAATGCACAAAAATAATAAAAATCTTCGGATTGGAAAAGGAAAATTCAAAAGTCAAAATATTTATTTTAAACACAATTTTAAATTAACTATTTATTTATAATTCTATTTATACTATATAAAAACTATACAGTTTCATTACAACTTATTGTCAAGTATCTCTAAGCAATTGTCTTACACTTTAATAGTCAATTAGTATTTCATTAAATAAAGCCAAAGTGAATGTGACTCTTTCATCTAAAATATAGTTATTCGTTATTTTTTTTTATACCAAATAAATTTAAAAAAAATAAAAATATTTGATTAAAACTCTAAAAAAATACTGTATCGAAAAAAACTTTAAATGAACCTCACTAAATTTCAATTAACTTGTTAAAGTTTAAGTCAAAAGGGTTGTCCTAGAATCTAATTAAGCCTATTGAACGATTGTGCAACCGTAAAAAACTCAGAGTAAACTCAAAGAGCTTTTTAAGGAAATATCTTCTAGATCTACTTTAAAAACATCTAGGTCAGTACCTATCACATTCAATTTATATTCTACTGAACACTACCAAAACAAGTATAAATACTTTTTTCGTTTTCCGCGAAGAAACGAAGAGAATCCTTGGAAAGATAATACAATCTTCCAGCATGAAAACGTAACCAACAGTATGACACGTCACAATAGCAAACCTATAAATAATTATACATAGCAAACCTACTGATATCTTTATTCCAAAATGTTTTCAAGAACGACAACAGCATGTGTTTATTTAATCGTCCAGTATGATAACCTAACCAACAGTGAACCACCTACAAACCTACTATTCATAGCAAATCTACTGATATCTTTATAGGAAATCTTAATATAGCTTATAAGTTTAGTTTAAATTGTGCTGGATAGTTTTTATTACAAAATAGGTTAACTTGCATATAAAAGTCAGCAAAATATTAATTCTTCTCATCTTATATTAAATTACTTAAACAGAAAGATTTCAGCAACTATTAAATGATCGTAGCGGTATCACCAGACCGTTCAAATTTCCAAATAAATTCCAGAAGCAACTATTCTGGTTTACACATTTGCTATGTACCATAATTACCAAAAATGATCCCTGCGACCGGGAACCCAAAGACGAAAACTGTTAAAAAGTGTCGACAAACATACAAAGCTTTTATTTTTATTATATTTTTAGTGATATTAACTAGCACTTTTGTTTTATTTTCACTAGTCTGAATTGGTTTTTTTGATATTTTTTTATAGTGTGTATTCGAGTAAAGTTTAATAAATGAATACATAAATAAAATAAAAAATATTTTAAGTTAAAAAAATTTATAACAAATAATTTAATAAGTTAATGCTCTCTTATTAAACTTTTCTTTAAACTTATTATCATAAATATATTTTCAATGGACCTAAATCTTATTTTTTTACCATTTCGTATTAAAGTGATTTTATTTGCATATTGAATATTATAATGTGACCAAAGAAAATGTTGCTCTAAGACGTTTTGGAGTCACAAAACTTTTCTTCTCCCACAACAAATTATTTTTTTCGGTACTCAAAGACTTTAAAGTACTTTTTAGTCTCAAGGACTTCTTTTGCACTTAAAGTGAAACCAAAGATATTTTTAAATATAACAACAAACATTATGGAAATTTTTAAAGACTTTCATTTTAATTCAATTTAATTGTTTCAAATTTTTTTAACTTTAATATTATTTCAACCTTTAATAGAGTAACTTTTTTTAATCGCTTTTATTATAATTTTCAATATTGAATTTTTTTTATTTGCATTAACTTACCTTAATAATATTAACAGCAAATCAGGCGCACTGGCCTGTAAGGCAACGCGTAAAGGTGATGATTTACCACAGGACTCTATGGGAATATCAATGAAACTGTAAAAAATTGAAAAAAAAAAACATTTTTTATAAACTTTTTTTTAATTACTACTAATATGTTAGCATTTTAATATTCATTTATATTTATTTTTTCTTCATTTATTCATTTAGTTATATCATTAACATATATATAGTATACATAATATATTGGAAAAAATAGCAAAAATTTACGCAGTAGACAGTTGTATTCAGTCGAAGCTTAAACGTTAAATGATGGCTAGATAACAACCATGATGGCTAGATAATAAGACTGGTGATGTATTATTTTTCACAAACCAAATATCCTTAAACAAAATAATCAGATCTGGACCCTATTAATACTGTTATATATTAGAACAGCAAATTCTCATCAGGTGACATCAAGAATATCATCAGGTTGTTGAATATATTGAAAAACTGAATATTCTTAACTAAAATAATCAAGTCTAAATTCTATGTGTTCTGACAACGTTATTGTAGACGAAAGTTTGTCTACAGGAAAGTAGCAACTCTGTTATTAAAGAGAAGAGAAGAAACAGAGACATTGTACTGGAACAATTCGCCAAGAGTATTGTAATTAAAATTATTTAAAGGGACTAATTGTCATATTATTTTTTTTACTAAGTTGAGAAAATTGGATATACGACCCACACATTTAAGGGTGCGATAGGGTTTTGTAGGATACACCCATTTCAAATCAATTATAGTAAAGTCAGTTATTTAGAGTTATATGTCGATATAGTTTTACTTATATACCAATATATATAAACTTCTCACATTATGGAAGTTGTATGTCGATTAGGTTACCAGAATAAACTTCACACGCCATATAACGCGAATTAGAATATATGATTCTTGCGTTGATCGTGCGACAAATAGTCCGTCTATTTTTTTAAGAATTCTAACTTTGATTTGGAGCGTTATTTTTAGTATTTTTCTATACATATGAAGGCCTTCATTAGAAGGATTCCTGTTATTTTCTAGAAGAATATTCTCTAATATTTTTCTATTTGCTACAGCCTTTAGGTAATGTTTTCGTTTAATATTACTTTATATATTTCAATGTTTTTTATATCAACTAAAAATTTGTAACAATTTTGTCAAATTAATCATAATAAACGATAAAAAATATAAAATATCCCAAACGAATGTTGGCAATAAAAAATGAGCTTTACGTTGACATAAATTTCATTAAATTTCAATCTGAAAAATGTTATTTATTACAAATATGCTTCTAGTAAAAAGAAGCACCCAAGGCACATAAACTGTTGTATCGGTAAATCGGTGAGACAATAAAATTTTACCTATGAGAGAGACCAATGCGATGCAATAAATTTTATTTTATTCATTTTTCATATACAAAGTAATAACAAAAAAAATCATTTTATTTTTATTTTTCTATTTTCTTGACAAACAAAAGCATTAAATTATTTTAAAGTAGCTGTGACACATGTGGTTATAAAAAATAAATAAAAATAAATATATATATATATGTATATATGAATATATATATATATGAATATAAAAGCTCCAGTATAGTTATATACATATATATGTGGTCGATTTTTTTAAGGCATGAAATAAATTTGTAGAAAATATAAGCCATGAAAACCCTAACACATATAAGCATATTTGCATAAATTTACGCATTTTAAGTTGACAGACACAAAAGAACGGAAGTAAAGCAATTTTTCAGGTAAATGAAAGTGAAAAGGAAAATAAAAAAATGTTCACAAAGTTCTTAAAAAAATAAAATGCGAAATGTATGTAAAGTACATACTCGTACTCATAAAAAGATAAAGGAAAAGGAAATAAACAAAGTTAAGGATAAACGCAGTTAAACAGTGGCAACAATGACAACAGCAACAACAAATTTATTTATATTTTATTTGCAACAATAAAAAAATTGCCATTGTGCTACCAAAAAATCCTACAGGATATAAGCCGTCGTGCTATTTTGGCCTGGTTTTACATGAGATAAAGAAAATAACATTTAAGCTGCTTAAGTTTGTTGTTCGCTAATTTGAGTCAGAAGACAGTCAAAAAAATTAATATCAAAAATTAAACAGAAATTGTCTCAGGCACTTTGCAAATTTGAAGAATAAAAAATACCCTTGACATGTATTCAATTTCACTCTAATTTACTAATTATTTTAAGAGTTTTTTTAATAAGATTTTAAAGTAATTTATTTAAAAATCTAACAGTTAATCTCATATTTATATACTGAAAATTTGAATAACAAGAGAGTTAAATTTAATTTACTTATAAATTTGCTTCAACAAAGATTTTTAATGGAAGCTACAGCTGAAGTATTACGGCAGGATCTTTAGATGAGGATATATTCGTTAGAAATTCAGTCAAATAATATAAATCGTACATTTATAATAATGATATTAATACTTTATATTACGAAAACTATTGAGTATCAATTTTAGAGATTATTATTTTATATTATCCTTATGATTGACATTGTAATAGATTAACAAATACAAACGCTACAGTTTCAACAGCGGACTACACTTCATATTTGTTGAATATCCATTTAAATTTATCGCAATATGCTTAACGTATAAATATACATAAATTAAAGATATTTTGTCATATATTTATATTTTTGTAATTTATATGCAAAGTACAAGAACAAGTATTATAGAATAATAAGTTACTCATCAACCGAACCTATTTTTCATTTACATGAAACATAGCTAAAATTCTATCAATTCATTCTATATTTTAAAAAAAATATTTCGTTTTATTGACCGTGACCAAGACGAACAGACAAGTTCACTAAATCACAGTTAGCCAATTATATACTCATTTCAACCTTATAGATTTATAGCTTATTAATTTAACTCACACGAAAACACTAGACTTAAACATCAAAATCGTAAAGAATAAAAAAACATATTTGTGGCACGTTGTCATACAATATAATGAATTACTTCACAAGACGATAATATCTCTTACAGTTTCTTTTATACAAATAGCCAAAACAACCCTATATCGAGTGTCAGCCTGAAAAAGCTTTCACTTTAGTCGCCTATATTGCGTATACGCCTTTGTCAGTCTCGTAGATCAAACGCATTTAGTGCTTTCTCAAACCGATCACTCTATTGGAGACATGGTCTACATCTACGCTTTATTCCCCCATTCTTGTTGTTATTTGTTACAGCAGTGCTAAGATAGATGAAATCTTTAACAGATTCGAAAATATAGTCATTAGCCTAGACTGAGCTGTAGATATTTCGTTCTCTATTGCTCTTAATTACTTCTCTATTGACTACAACTATGAAGAAAGAAGGTGCTTAATAACACAAGGTTGATAAAATTGCCTATATCAACAATCTAATCACAATATAACTACATTGCATTGGACTTCAAAATGCATCATTGGAAACAATATATACAGCTGTTATCAAACTGATTTCTCGTTACATACCACAAATATGGATATTGCAATTATGCTATGATTTGTAAAGCCCTTTCTTCACTTTGCATGCGTCGAGCTTTTCTTTTCTTTTGTGCTATGAATATATGAACAGCTATTCCAACCGATGCTATATAAGTAAGATTAACATAATAAACTGAATAAATTAATCTTCTTCCATCTGCAATTATTGTCTAATCGATTTCAGTTTATAGTCATGAGCTACATAATTATTAGGTGCGTATAAACTTGTTTTTTCTAATGTGTTCCCAAACTGCAACATATAGTCCGTACACTTGTATTTACGTGTACATATTCGAATCAACACACCTATTGGACACTCTATTAATTTTTGGATATGTTTTATACAAGCTTTGCAAACTTTGTTCACCATAACCCACACTAGTTTAAATTAGCTCGGCATTACACCCACATCCCTATACTTTATATGCTCATATATGTACCTTACAAACTCCTCTATCAGTTCTCATTTTGTTTAATTAACTTCAAACTATTTTAGATTTAAACATTATTCATACAATATAAACATTTTAAACTTTCCTTTTAACTTTAAAATATATTAGAAACTTTTAACTTTAACTCATATGTATAGATAAGAGAACTTTTAATTACGAGATAACTATTTCGTTTAATTATAACTTCAAAAACTACATCTTTAGGACATAATTCAATAAATGTTAGTTATTTGGTAGTTGCTTCAACCTTCCAGTTTCAGGCCTCAAGCAAAATGTGTTTAAAATGCTCCTATTCAGTTTCAATTCTAAGCCATTATGCGAATTAGTGTTGCACCTTAGTCTCTTGTCTTTGATGGTTTGACGATTTGACTTAAATGTCGCTTCATAACAGCTTTTATCAAATTTACTCTGCTGTGTCTGACATAAATGCTACTTTATGTTATCTTTGTTTACATTTTCTATCAAATTTTTCTGCTTCTGCACTTCTGTATAGGCAGCAGCATAACAGTTAACATTCGACTAAGCTTTAATCCCAGGCACAACTTCATTATGCATTGATTACACGCATTCGAACTGAGAATTTGTGAACATAAGCGACTATAAATTCATACTCGTACGCATACGTGTACATTTTTACATATGAGTTTACATGCTGCAGCATTACAGTTGTGTATGTTACAGCTGTGCACATATACATACATAAATTTACTAGAATTGCCATTGTTCTGATTCTAGTGATTGTATGATTGTGTTTATGTTAGCGTATGTGTTTTTAGGCATTGTATAAGCAATGTAAAGTATTAAATGTTGTTCCTGAGCTGGTAAAACATGGTTGAGTCTTTGTTTTTAATTTGAATTAAAGAGCAAAAACCTGTACAAAATATTTTTCATTCAAGCCTTAAGTAAAACAATATTTACATAACCTTGATTAACAAAATTTAATTAAAAATATTTTATATTTTTTTTAATTTATATTTTACATTTTAATGCAATCTTATTTTTAACAATAAAACATGGAAAAGTGCTGGTGCTGTAATGAAATAAAATAATTTTTGCCCTCACATGTTATTTTACTTAAATTTCTGCTTGGGCTCATTAAAATGAATTTAATTTAATTATTTTGCGCTCAAATTATGGCAATTTCCCAGGACAAACATCTTTTAATTAAATTCATTCGCATTCGGGTTCAGTCAGATTCGGATTCCCTTTTCCCTCGACATGGAATTGTAGTAATACTATTATTGTCGTATTTATTGTGTGTCACTTAATTTAATTATGTTAAGATTTTTATTAAAAACCGCAACCGAAGGAGTTTTATGTCAATGGCAACAATAAATTTCATTAAAATATGTTGCCTTTTATTAATATTATTTCATTAGTATTTGCTGTACTTTGTTTTTGTAATTTGTTACACTTGTATTGGTGTTAGGCACACAGTTGTAGGTTTAAAGCAAATAACTTATATACTGCGATATGTACTATACTATATGCTCACTTATACAGTATATCAAAAGACTAATTTTTTGAGAAATAGAGTTTTCATACAAATTAATATTAGAATTTAAAATTAGAAAGCAGTGATTGTGTAATTGGGTCGGGCAAGATACCTAAAATCTTCTCAAAAATGTTTTAATCCATTTTCATTAGGAAAGGCTACTGCACAATAACAAATTACGTACTAAAAACAATAATTGAACCACTTTTACAATGTATTTTGTCATTCCGTCATTGTGCTTCTTTACTTAAATTCACTATATCATCTTTCAAAAGACTTTTATATATATTTTATGGGTATCAAAGAATAGTTGTTTTAATTGTCATCCAGATAGATATTAAGAGACCCAAATTTTAGCAAAGAATATCGAAACTAGATACAGAGTGTCTTAAAAAAATCTAAAACAAATAGATTAAATGAGTTTCGAGGTGTGTTGAGATTGAAGATAATGAAAAGATTGACAAAGTAGAAAGTAAATGAACACAGCCTTTTGACAGTAGGTGGAAGCATCGAAAGCCAATGTGTGAGACTTGAACCCACTAAACCACCTCTTATTAATGAATGGAGAAGATTTCCACAGCATTGTGAAAACTTCATTCCAGTAATCAGGGGAGAGAGGAAACAAAAAGTTTTAGTACCTAGCGAGCTAGATTTATGTAAGCCAGAAAGCCACCCACACTCAAGTCTGTATTATATAGACACTGAATATATAGATTCACGAAAAGATTGATAAACTAGCAAGGAAACAAACACCACCCTTACTTAAGTATGTATTATATAGATACTGAAATAGTTTAACGATTAAGGGTAAGACAAACTTGTAGAAAATATGAGTAGCAAACATGTTTTTAAATCTTTGATAAACTGGAAATATTTTCTTAGTTATTAGAAAATTGAAACAGAAAGGACTGAAAGTAAGATAAATTCAGGAAAAAAAACAGCAACGTTACTAGTAGCCCCAGAACTCTTTTGTACACTGAATATATATTTCAATTATTATCATTTATTTATTATTTGCATAAAAAAGAACAATAACCTTGCTAGTAGAACCAGAGCGCTTTGATGAACTGTAGATATTTCCTTACTTAATAGAAATGAACAGAAAAGATCGATCAGCAACCGTGCTAGTAGGTCTATGTTAAGAGGCATTGTTAGCTTAGAAAAGATTAATACCTTTTTACTTAATATAACTTAAGGGCAAAAACAAGACTTATCTATGTATGTATAAAAACGAAAAATTAATTGAGATAAACTTACCTAATCATACGTTCCTGTTCGAATCTCGCTATCCATACTGGCAGTTTCATACAAAGGTTTGTGGCATGATGTAGAAAATATACCATAGCGCGTATATTTTCATCCTATTTAAAATATTTAAAAAAAATATAAATTTTAATTTTATTATCCATATACTATATATATAATATATCAAACCTGATCACGAAAGTCACTACGCCAGCCTGCTATAAAATGTGGAGCATTTGGGCCAAATAAAGCTCCTAAGAATATGCGTTCAAAAGTCTTTTCGCATGAATAAATTTCTTCTGTACATAAAAAAAAATTTAAATGTTTAAAATTATATACTGAAATATATATTTTATAATAATTTATTTAAATTCAATTAAAAATATAATATAACATCATAAGTCGAAAAAAGGTGTGAGATTTTTTAAGAACTGATAGATGTTATATACAAAAACTTTTCTGAATAAAAAAATTCAGGTAAAGGGAATAACAAATTTTTAAATAATTACTAAAATTTAATATAGTTCTATACAACATAAAGCAAAATAATCCTTTTTAAATTGTATTTTTCAAACAAAAAATTCAATACAAACAATTCAATTTAATTACAAAAATCCTATATATTTTTTTAGTGCTGTTGTGTGTCAGTATGTCAGTTGATATTGCAAATGCTGCATTTCGGAAGCAACGATTCAATATCGCCAACACAATTTTGGCTAAAAACATTTGCATATTAACTCGAATAACACGATTTTGTTGTGGCACAGCTCAGCACTTTACAATCTTGTAAACAGAAAAAAATGCATTGTAAGTGCTGCAGTAAAGCAGTAAAAAAAACATTACACCACAACACTCCCCTACATGCTTCACTGCAATGCGTAGAACAACAAAACAGTTTCAAGTGTCAAAATGTAAAGTAAATGGAAAAATATTCGTTGC